TTGCTTACATAAGTCGGAGGGGGAATCATGCCAACTATATTTGTTAGATATAAACCTTGCAGCCATTCTTTGTATTCTTTCTAACTTACTAACACCAGAGGCCGTGTATGGGAACCAGACGACGTTGGCGTACTCAAGCATAAGGCGGACTAGCGTCTTGTAGGCTAATAATTTCGTCTCAGTCGATCCACTTTTTAAGGTTCTTTTTAGAAAATTAAGTTTGTTTAGCGCTTTTTGAGTTACAGAGTCTATGTGTAAGTCCCAACGGAGGTCATGGCTTATATGTAGGCCGAGGTACTTGTACTGTGTGACTTTCTCCAGGGGTTTATTGTTGATGTGGTAGGAAAACGATTTAGGTTGCTTTTTGTTAGTTATGGTCATAGATACAGTTTTATCTAAATTTAACAAAATCTGCCAGTCATGACACCATTGTACAATATGTTGAAGTGCATTGTTAAGGTTGATTTGATCCTGTTCATTGTTGATTTGTGAGTACAGTATACAATCGTCAGCAAAAAGACGGATTTTTACATTAACGTTTTGAACTATGTCATTTATGTAAATAAGAAACAGGAAAGGTGCCAGTACCGATCCCTGTGGAACACCAGATGAAACTTTTCCCTTTGACGATGAATGAGCGTGAATTGTCACAAACTGATACCGATCAGAAAGGTAGTTTCTTATCCAATTAAGTATTTTGCCTGCTCCCAGAATAGTTTCTAGCTTGAATAGTAGTTTTGTGTGGGACACTCTGTCGAATGCTTTCGATAGATCTATGAATATAACGTCAACGTGACCCCTGTTGTTAATTACGGTAGAAAAATCATGAATGCTTTCGGTCAGCTGAGTAACAGTCGATAACTGACGCCTGAAGCCGTGCTGGAATGGGGTTATTATATTATTGTTCTCGACGAAGGTTGAAATGTGTTTTAGTATAATGTGCTCGAGTATTTTGGAGCAAGTTGAAGTGAGAAATATAGGCCTGTAATTAGTAAACTCATTTTTGTTTCCAGATTTATATATGGGGATTACTTTAGCCAATTTCCAGTCCTCAGGAATTTCCCCTATGTTGAGGGAGTGTCTAAAGATGCATGAGTACGAGATACTTTGCTATCCATTCCGCGTACCTTTTTAAAAATTCATTGGGTAGATTGTCAGGGCCAGCACTCTTTTTACTATTGAGGTTAAGTAAGAGCTGCAAGACACCTTGTTCGGTAACTACTACATCGTCCAATGTGGGCAGAGCTGAACAAGAGACAAAAGAAGGTATATTATCATTATCCATAGTAAATACAGAAAGAAAGTACTCGTTGAACATCTTCGCTAGATTGGTTTTATCATTTGACAGTGATTCTAGGTGTGACTTAGTTTTAGAGTTAACGTGACTCCAGAATTTACGAGGTGACGACTTAATAAACGACTGAAGTGTCACATTGAAAAATGAATACTTAGCTGATCTAACTTTGAGGCCAAGTTCTGTATTCAGCTGTGACAACTTATCTTTATTAAGAGGTGTTTTAGTTTTCTTCGCACATTTGCGCAGCCTGTTTATTTTACGTTTCACGTGAATAATTTCCCGCGTTATCCAAGGGTTTTTTCTGTCAATTCTTTTCGTCTTAGTAGGGATAAAGTTTGAAATGCAGAACTGAATGGCTACTTTAAATTCGTTCCAAAGGGTATCGGTAGTGGTAAGAGCGTTGGAGAAGAGTAATTGGAAGGTATCAAAATGCATATCAAAGTAATCGAGTACGCCAACGTCGTCTGCATTGCTATAGTCCAGTACTGTAGAAACTTGCGGCGCAGCAGAAGCTACAGAGTTCATTTTAAAAGAGCACAAAACCATTTCGTGGTCAGATATACCATCTAAGACGTCGATATTGTACTCGTGGCTCAGAAAATGATCACTAACAAAAACCAAATCGAGCACTGTTTGTGTCGAGCCTTGAATACGAGTGTTTTCGGTAACAATTTGAGTTAGGTTATAATGAAAACATAGTTCTGAAAGAATATCAACACCATGGGATAATTTCTGGGGTCTAGAAAAGGACCAATCAACTAGAGGTAAATTAAAGCCACCTGCTATTATGATCTTACTGCTCATGTTAAGATTCTTACGCATATAATCATACATATTACAAAAGAACTTTGGGGCTGTGTTTGGGGGTCTGTAGGCCACAGCAATGAAGCAGCAACTGTTCTCATAGCTGATTTTACACCATAAGCACTCAATTCCCTGGGAATCGGGCAGCAATGTACATGAAATCCCATTTCGAGCAAGAATCGCAACTCCGCCGTCACGTGATCCCCTATCTTTGCGCAAGATTGTGTAGTTGGGAGGCGTGATTTCGCTATCTTGTATACTGTCTGACAGCCACGTTTCGGTGATTACAACAATATCAGGTTCGGTATTCAGAATAGCTGTTTCAAGTTTATCAGTTTTATTCACGATACTCCTCGCGTTTAAGTTGAGTAGGCGAAATTCGTAATCATTATTGATACGGCTAGGCTTTAGTCATGGACTTGAAGCCTGTGCAACATCAGCTATCAAACTCTTGTCGTTTTTGACGTCGTCCCAAGTATACACTTTTCCGTTTATTTTAACTTTGTCGTACATCAAAGTGACCTTTTCACCGGCAAGCTTATTCGATTTCGAGCTTTCGAGCAGTTTTTTTCTGATTCCCTGAACTCGTTTCGAGTAGTCCTCGCTGATTGATAATGGTTCATTCTTTAACCTATTACATCTACGTAGAATTTTCATCTTGCCTCTGAAGTCAAGTAGTTCGAGAATCACTGGACGAGTTTTACCTTCAGTTGGTTTTCCCAGGCGATGTATGCGTTCAATTCCATTGGTTTTTACGGACAGTTTGTCCTCAAGGACCTCCTTTGTTACTCGCTCTTCGAGTTTGCTGCTGTCTTCGTTTGGCAGCTCAGAAAGACCGAAAATAATTAGATTATTTCTTCTACTGCGATTTTCTAAGTCATCAATCTTATACACGAGTGATGCAACAGTAGATTCGAGTTGTTTTGTCCTGTCTTGGTTTTGGTTCACAGCTGACCTCAGACCTTCGAGGCTTTTAATTTGCAACTCTATGGTCTCTAGTCTGGATTTTGTTTCCGCTTGGCTCAATTTGATTTCCCTGACGTCAGCGGAGATAATATGTAGTTTTTGCAATATTGTTTCTAGAGTAGGCCCGGGATTTACTTCTACATCACCACACAACAAAAGTAGGTTTTTCGGCAACATTCCAAATTCACACAGCACACTCAAACAGCTCCGTGGGCACGGTAACGGGAAGAGACAAATATTGTTACTGCGGAGGCAACAAGGATATTGTTTCCCTACCTGTGCAATGAGCACGAAGTGGTTTAGAAGCGTCATCTTGACGATGCCACCGTGCCCACGAAGAAGTGCAGGTTCCGGCCAGTCTTTTATAGTGCCGAGCGGCGCTAGAGTAGCTGCTGTCACTGTCGATATGGGCCGTGGAAAATCCAAATGTCCGTTGAAGTTCCACAGGAGAAAGTTGTCCAGGTCCGTCACACTTCGCTCCGCGTTATCGGCTGGAACGGCGAAGCCGCCGCAATGATCAGCCGCTTGATAGTGCTCGGAGACGCCCATATCCTGGTGCAGCGGCAGAAGCAGCATCTGTGCAATGAACATGAAGTGGTTTAGAAGCGTCATCTTGACGATGCCACCGTGCCCACGAAGAAGTGCAGGTTCCGGCCAGTCTTTTATAGTGCCGTGTCGTGTCCCCGCTGACTGGACACGAGTCCCACCCGAACGCTGACGTCACACTCGTGTCCAATCCGTGTCCCGCGTTCGCCTCCTTAGGGTGACGTTCAAAATGGAGAACTACGACCTTCTAATATATATTTTCGTATTAGCTCCAAAAACCGTATTAAAAAAAGAAATAAGTAGTCTGGTGCCTCGCGGAACGCTACTAATTTTCCCCCTCACGCGTCGATTTAAGATATATGTAGGTGCATCTTATGGCGAATTCCGATGGTCGTTTTGGAGCGCGCCGGGATCGACTTTTTTGGAGCAAGCCTATTTCACGGGGCGATCGGGATCGAGACGGACGTGTTCACCTGGTCGTTCTGGATTAGCTCCCGCTCCAGATTCCGATCTGGATCCGAGAAAAGTCGCTCCGACGATTTCGGCGGATTCAACCGGAAGCCAGCTGGGCCAGCCTTCGGCGCCCACACGTGATTTCCTTTCTCGCGGGGCATCTCGCCTGATCTCGCCCATCTCGAATGGCCGCTTGCTTACCCTTGGCTCGACAGCAGGTTCGTTTTCCAGGAAGGAGAAGAGAAGGTTTTGGGGGCCGCGCTACGGGCATTCCGGGAATCCTGCCGCTCGTGCGTCGAACACGTGTTAGCGCCGCGATTACGAAAACGTCTTCGAAACGACCGCGGCGGCCTCGGAAAGGGGATTTCCGGGCAGGTGAATGACGGGAAGGCATCCGCCGATCCTGGAGCAGTGGTCATGTTCCACTGGGGATTCGTAGGCGGCGCGACCCCGTTCAGATCGTGTGCTCCATTCCGGATCTGGTCAACTGATCCCGGCGCGCTCCAAAACGCCCTGTGGAATTCGCCATTAGATTAGCTTTACGATATGTTATCGAGACGTGCACGTTTCAAAACCTTAAACGGATATTTTCTTTCTTTAACAAACAAATCTCGTAAGAAATACTTCTCGCAGCGCACGAGTAATGCGCGAAACAGTGACTCTCCTTACCTCCTCATTACGCTTCCGCGAAACCTATTATACCCATCCCATGAGGATGAACCGCAGCGGGTGCTACGAGGCGTCTAAACCAATCAGATGCCGCGAAAGGGCCACGTGACCTTCGGGAGTCGCAGGGAGCCGCGCAGCGAGGCACGGATGTCACGCGACACGTTAACGACGCTGGATTGGCTCGTAACCTCCGTCGCGATCCATCGTAGAGCGAAACGAAGCGCAGGGCTTCCGCGCCGTCAAAACGCGCATGCGCGATTGCGAGCGGCCGTCGGTGGCGGCGATAAGCCGACGAGGACGCGAACTTTGAGTCCGCGATAGCGAGGCCGGACACGAACGCGGCGAGCCTGCTGGCAAACGTTCAAGAGACAGTTCCTACGCCTTCCCCGGCAGCATAGAGAGATCGAAACAACGAGACGGAACTTGAAGAAGAAAACGCGGTGCGTTTACTGTGGTTGTCGACGTGAGGTGAGTATACTACCGTCATTTGTAAGCTCGTGATCCCGAATGCTTCACCTTGGGATCTTAATGAAGCAGCAGGCGCAATAATGCTTATCTATCGTGCAAAATGGCACGGTGTTTTGGTACGGACACAATAACAGAATCAATTTCTTTAGAAATTATATTTCCGGAGGTTCTGGCACGACGTTTCTTTCGCGTTTCACGTATTCATGAGCGAAAGCCATGGCAGGCTCTCGAGCGAGAATATCGTGTTCTAGTACTGGTCGTGGTTTTGCGCTCGTGTTCTCCGCCCAAAAGACCTCGAACCGCTGATTTCCTAAAAAAAAAAAAAGAAGAAAGATGGGTTCTCTGCGCCCACACCTTAATTCGAAGAGTGCTGTGTACGTAAATAACATTCGAACGTGACTGCAGACAGTTTTTGTACCAGAAATGTGGCAGGGTCGATGGATGGATGGATTGATGTCTTTTGTAACGGGCGGCAGCTTGCGCCACCTGGCCCCAAGGCATACAAGGCTCTGACATTGTCTGCAGACTGTCCTTTGTACGATGTGGTAAACGGAACGACCGCGGCTCTATAGAGCTTTCCAAAAATCGCCTTCTGTGCACTGCCATCATCGTCTGCTGGGCGGTGGAACGTCTTCTGAGCATGCGCTGTCGGTCTGTCGTGCTGTAGATCAGACGCTGCGCATGCGTCCACAGCTCAGTGCCTCGGCATTTTTTGCCCGAGTGATAAGCGCTGGAAAGGTCTATATATAGTGTTTACGATAAAACGCCCCCTCGTTCATCACCGGTGGTTTTGATTTTCGATGTACGATCCCATAGATCGCTTGCACTGACGTCACACTAGCGGGAACTGTGAGGAACCTTGCTGATGCGCGTGTATCTTCCGCATATTTCGCACTATTGATTTTTATTGTCTCGGCAAGTGGAGTCACCATTGGTATACGGTTCTGTGACGTCACGTACAAGCTACGTATTAGTGGCATCATTACAATCGCCTAAACTGGGGGCAAACCGCGCTCGTTTGAGAGGTGGCGCTCCGGTCGACTCCTCCTCAGAGCTGTTTATACACAGAGAGTTTGGCCAATGGGCGGAGCTTGTTGTCCGCTAGAACCAGCGGATTTCGCGATAACACAAAATGGTTTTGCATCTTTGTGTCGTTTATTCCTGAGAAATCGCATAGAGTTCCTATAAGTCAGAGCCATAAAATGGCGGACGGAAGCAGTCATCCCACGGTTGTCAGACTACGCTGCTGTGGTTGCCAGGCTGTCAAAATCTCATTAAGCCAAACTCTCTTAGTATAAACGGCTCTGTTCCTCCTGAAGCTTCCCCGCGCGCTTCTACGATCGAATGCTTATCAGCGTGTGTGTGCGTCGATGTTGTTTTTCCCTGCTAAATTGCTGGAAAATAAAAAAAAAAAATGCATCATAGGAACTGATTGCGTCGGCCGAAAGCATTGGTTTCCCACGCTGAACGCGTACCTGTTCACCGTCAAAGACGTGCACGTAATCTCGAAATACGTACTGTGGTTTAAAATGCAATACGCACTCAGCAGAGGTCTCATTCAACGTCTTGTCCGCTCGATGCAAGTTCTTATCCCACAGTTTTCGCCGCTCCTCGTCCTCGGGTACACAGAGCAAAGACGCCTTTGGCGCGTCCTTCACGCGAGCGTATCCCGTTCTATAGACCTTTCCAATGTTTACAAATCGACAGCTCAGCGTGCGATCTCCACAGCTCAGCACGCGCGTGTGCGTCGCTTCGGAAAGCGAGCAAATCACGCGCGATACACACGAACACTGAAAATGAAACCGGCCAGCAGCCCTTTCCTGGAAAGGTCTATAACCAGGCGTACACCAGTAGTTTTACCCGGCGATTAGGCATTCTTGCATTTCAGTCGAAAAAACGAAACCGGAAGACAGCAGTAACCAAAGTGACCACAGGTCAAAGGCACGCGTACGAGCACACGCGAGCTGCAGTCACTACTCAGCGCCAACACCGAAGTCGAACGCAAACACACGGGTGTAGCCAGGATTCAGGACGCTTCAGAAAGGGTCGACAGCTGCGCCCCTGTCGGCCTCCAACACAGACCGCCTCACCTCGAAGCATGAGCGAGAGAGGGCGATGAGCTCCACTACCCCATTCTAGTCCTCTGCGGTATTACGATGCCATTAATCCGCCATCTTTCTTGTTCGATGTCAGTTGGATAAGACTTGTGCGAGGCTTTTTTTAATTTTATTTTGCACTGCACATTTGAGGCTGTCATGCGAATCCTTGGAATGCTAGCCTTCGGTGCGCGGCGGACAGCTTGTAACAACAAAATGGCGGATGACATTATAGAGTGCCCCGAAGTTGGACATTATGGCAGTATGTACTCGCCTACTGAAAAGTGTTAAAACATTCAGGAAATGGCAGAAACCAGTGGCACCAAAGTTTAAGAATTAGACGTTGAAACGTGTAAAAAACATTAAAATATCGCTCATTTGTAATTAGAAAAAGAAATTTATAGCCAGAATAGAATTAAAGTGATTCACGAATGTTCAATCTGTGGGTGTTCACTTTAGCCACCCCCCGATCACGCCCCGCCTTGACAGCTCCGAAGGAGATCACACAACGCGAGGTACGAAGAATTTAAGGCTGGTTCACACTGCCCTTTTTTCTTACGTTAAGTTACGTTACGTATAAGTCACCGAAACATTCGTGTTTCGAATGTCTCGTGTCATATACTTACTCCTTGAACTGGTAGCCTCGCTTAATATGAAGCACAGAGGTCCCGGTGACTTCAACGTAATACTTCGTAATGTAACTTAACGCAAGCAAACAGGGCAGTGTGAACCAGCCTTTATTGGGGACCTTTAGCAAACCGCTGCCGCGTTCCGAGTGCCGCGCTACCGGAGCCTTTGAAGCAAGCTTTTAAGCGCGTCCCCCGAGGCCACGGTATCACCCGGGTGCGCGCTTAAAAGCATGCTTCAAAGGCTCCCTCCGGTAGTGAAGTATAGACGCTTTCAGGCAGCTGTGCATGGGCGCCGCCATAACTGACCTTCAGTTTTTGTTCCGTATTATTCCGTTCGCTCCACTTCATCATTACCACAGCAGGACCGGGTATTGCCATTTTAAGTGTTACTGTGACCTTCTCCCCAGCCTAGGCCCTTGTGGAGGCTCGTCAACGCCCTCTTCAGTGGCTCGGCATCTCGGTAAAACAAGAGAAGGGCGGCTATGGCGGCTCAATTTGGCGCGTGTGTAAAGCGTCCATAGGGTGCCTTCATGTGCGCTTTGTTTTAGAGTTCCTGTATATGCTACCTACGGTCAACGGATGCTTTGCTCCTCACGTGATGGATCTCGGCGAATAGCGGCGTGGCGGCGCGGGGAAAACAAATGCGCAATTCTGGCTTCCGTAGGGAGCCTATACAGGAACTCTACTCTGTTTAGGGTGGAGTAGGGTGCCTTCATGTGCACTTTGCTTAGGGTGAAGACATACGGCCATTTTGTTCCACACTTTTATTTTTCTTTTTTGTTCAGAAGCGCGTGAAAGAGCGTGTCCCTGCACGCGTTTGTGGCGCTGACTGTGCTATGGCGACATTTTGTTTTCGTCAATTTCTTTGTAATTTACCCGCGAGCGCGTGCTGTCGGGATCGGGTACTACAAAGGGTGGCGTCACCCTAAACAGAAGGACATTGAGGCACCCTAGGGTGGAGACATCTCGCCATTTTGTCCCACACTTTTATTTTTATTTTTTGTTCAGAAGCGCGTGAAAGAGCGTGTCCCTGCACGTGTTTGTGGCGCTGACTGTGCTATGGCGACATTTTGTTTTCGTCGATTTCTTTGTATTTTCCCCGTGAGCGCGAGCTGTCGGCACCGGGTACTACAAACGGTGGCATCACCCTAAACAGAAGGACATTGAGGCACCCTAGTGCAGTACTCGGAACGTGGCAGCGGCAGCGGTTTGCTAAAAGTCTCTACTGTCTCACAGTCAGACGATCTGGAGGCAGCGCCTTGTCCTTTACCGTTCCGTCGCCGACCATCCTCGAGCTCGATGCCCGAGTTCTGCCCCGTAACGTCATCTTCTTCTCCCTTGGCCTCCGCGGGCCAATGTCCGGCCCCCTTGTGGCTACGATACCCACAAATGTCGCACGCAATAAATACTTCTGTTCCTTGTTATTTTTTATTCATTTTTTTTTTTGGGGGGGGGGGGGGGGGCGAGGGGGTGAGAGGAGTGTTTTTATTGGTGGAACGAATGCAGATCATGAGCCTTAACATACTATGAATGACATTAGCAGAGTGCACTTTGTTTGCCGCCTCTCCCCCGCAGTTGAGTAGTTCACCACTCCTATCAGCACTGAACTATACGTCGTGAATGATCGCTGTAGTGTGCGTGTGCTCGCGTACGTTTACGTGTGTGTGTTTGTAGTATTATTGATATTTTCTGTGCAGTGTAGTGTGTGTGTGTGTGTGTGTGTGTGTGTCTGAGTGTAATCCTTCTTGACCAAAAATCTCATCACCGTCCTAATTTTTGGTTTCACTTTTAATAGTCAGTCACCGACCGTGCAAGTACTCAACCAGCGGAGGGACATCTCAACAGACGGAGCTGTAGTCCCGCAACATGCCAGCAGAGGCCCTCACGTGCAAGAATCAAACATGTGGAAAGGAACTTCCCGACACCGGAAAAAAATTTCTCCGGTGTTCGTCATGCACCAAGATCACCTGTCGGAACTGCAAGGCTTCCCACGACAACATAAATTGCAAGACATACCAAGAGGGACAAAATGAGAAGCCGTCAACAGCCAGCAGGGGTCCCAAGGGCCAGCCAGGACTCGATAGCGCTGATAGCAAGGTATCGACGGCCTTCCTATCTTCCCCCTTTCTTTCTTTTTATCTTTTTATTTGAAAAAAAAGGGAGGGGGTGGGAGAGTTTGTTTCATAATCCTTCACCCTCCCCTGGCCGTGTCACTGCCTCTTTGCGATATGATATTGGCGAAATTCAAACCAAAACTATCGCTTCCAGCTAACGTTAACTTACTATTACACTCTGGTTTCACTGCATTTGATAGAATAGACGGAACGCTTATCTTAAAACCAACTGCGCAACTCTACGCTGCAACTTATAAACCAACTCAACTCTCTGACATCACGCCACTGCAGTGGCGCTGATGCACTGCGCATGCGCAAATGCTTCACCTTACGCGATACTCCTCGGGCAGAATTTGCAGACTTTTTTTTTTTTTTTTTGCACGCCGTGTTAGCAGCATGAGATGGCGATTTTATGCGTCCGCACGCTGTTGACAGACAAGATCGCCAGGTCTTGCAGTGTCTACACCTGGTGTGGGCAAACGTGGACTTGTCTGTCAACAGCGCGTGGGCGCATAAAACCGCCGCCTCATACCGCTAATACGGCATACAAAAAAAATCAGTCTGAAGACATTGTGTGATGAGTGTTTCTTCCTTGTGTGACGTCACGTTGGTCACACAACACTGTCTGTAAACATGTTGTAGGCATACATGCGTACAAAGCAATCCCGCTTAATTCGAACGAACCCGCTTAATTCGAACGTGTGCGATGCGTCTCCATAGATAATTCTGCAGCAGTCTGACTGGCTGCTTGATGAAGACTCGAGCAATGGTCATCCAATCAATGCCCTTATAAATCAGTCAATCAACTCACTTTTGCAGAAATACGAGGCTGACACGTTCCAACTTTTCAACCCTGGAGAAGAGTACGTGTGTGGAGCGCGACTGCAAGGTGTCAACGACTACTGCTGCTTCAGTGTGGTCCTCCACGAGGGCTCCCAACGATTCTGGTGCCCGTTGTGCCTAGCCAAGCACAGTATATTGACAGATGGGAGTGGAAAGAGGTGGCTAAAAAGGGAACTTCAAGCACCACCGTCCCGGTTCCGGCCGAACAACTGGTCATGTCAACGTTGATCGATGGAGCGTCGTCGCGTCTGTGGTCTCCGGGCGCCGGCATCTTGCAACCATGCATGGCGTGTGTATGCACGCCAGGTGTAAGATGGCGGAGCCTGAACGCGGCACTTGAAAACGTCCACTACGTGTACCAGTACTCAACAGAATCACGCAGGTCTGAGTGTTTGGCACTCCACTTTCTTTGTCAAACATATCGACAGTCTAGCTCCCTTCTCCGGAGAACTGCGAACGCAGTAAGGGCAAAGAGGTTTACACACGCACCAGCGTCTGGTTTTACGATTGCGTGCCGTAGAACGCTGGCTCAAGCATGATAGACCCGGACACGTTTCTGATTATCCGCGGTTATGAAACTTGTCACCGGGAAAATAAAAAAATAAAAATAAAAACTGTGTCTACCATATTGTGTTGCTGACGCGCTAGTTATTTGTGTTTGTCCACGGAGGTAATGCGTGGGCGGTGGTACGATGCGCGATTTTACACCGCCAGCCTCGCGCCTGTTGACGAGTGATCTTTGCACTTCATCGCGCTTCCCATGCGCTCCGAATCTTTTTAAAATTGACTAATTTTGTTAATTAGTAATGATTTATCTTGGGACGATTAGCCTGTCCCCCTCGTCATACAACTCGCTCCCATTGATCGGATTAGAATAGCTTTCTCGTTTTTTAAACAAATCTTTACGCCTTAAAAAACACCCCGCGAGTAGTCCTTAATGAATCCAGAAGCGAACCCCAACTGAAATAGTCACTGATGGAATGCAAACGGCGTCACATGCCCGGCCTGGAAGTATACCCATTGCCTTCAGTCGTGCTTGGACTGCGCGTGCTTGGACGCTCGAGGATCGCAAGAAGCTGAAGCGCCATCGAAGGCAGGGAGTTCAAGCTGGACGCGGGACAAATAAAAATATCTTCCTGCCGCTTTTTGCTGCTGAGAAAATGGTATTCGATGGTGCGAAACATATACTCAAACGCAAAGACTCTGCCTCCGTCTCTACCCCCTGCCTCCCCCCCCCCCAGTCCACGGTGCCCCAGTCAAAGCGAACCACTTGTAATCGGAGACGGCGCTTTGATGTTCCGCCCGCTTTCATTTCCTCCTGTTTCTCGGTCTCTATCCTCATTGAGGCTCCAGAAGCTACGGGTTCAGCAGCAAGGCAGGCACCACAATGGCCACCGACTTGACGTCGATGCAAACAAGGGTTGGGCAGTATCGCGGTACAAATGTATCGCGATAGTATTTCAGAAATACATTTTGTATCTGTATTTCTGTATCGCGACACATTTTTTTTTTCACCAGTATCTGTATTCCTGTATCGAAATACATTTGGAATGTTTCATTGTGTCGCGATACAATCAGGGTGAAATGTATTTCGATACATCTCTTGAAAAATACTTCCCCCACCCCCGAAAAAAAAAAAAAATCCGAACGCATCTAGTTTTTATTTTATTTTTTTACTCCTGAGATGCTGGGTCAAGGAGATACTGGGGCATTGTTACCATGCCGACCGAGGTTTCCTCCGATTCTCCAAACTATTTTTCTATGCGTCCTCTTCTGTATTCTGAGAAGTGTTGCGTTGTCGGGGACTCGAACCAGGTAGCGTGCCAGAAGTGGAGTGAGACCATCTTCTGCCGCAGGTCCTTAGATAGGGATTTCTTGAGTCATTGTTTGTAGAACCCAATGCCCGCGGCTAACCACCTCTCTTGCCTTAGCGTACTACACAGTAGACCCAGCCGGCAAAGCTCAGTCACAGTCCGTTGCAGCACGAGCCTGGTGGTGGTTGACTTGAAATAGACAAGATAACTCACGCAGTGAAGTTCAAGAGATATTCGAAGGCGTCTGCGGCTGCGCCCGTAATATTGCACGGCTCAAGGGTACATCATCAGCCGACGTGAACGTGACCCGCTGCTCTGGTGATCTGAAACCCAGCAAGGAGGCCAGACGTGACCTCGCTGTGCCGACCCAGACTTCGTACACCTGCGACTCGTCTCGAGCGCGCTGTTTCTCAAAGGGCTCGCACCTGTTGTAAATTGTAATTTTGACACCTCCTACAGTCCTACTCACGGGAAACAGCCGTACAGTGCTCGTGTAAATATGCGGTTGACAAAAACGGGGAAGACGAGAGGACAGTTGGGCGGGGGACAGATTGAAGAAGATGTACGGAACGACGGCGATGACCGACACCCGTAGATTAACTTCGCCATGTAAATAGTTAATTCATTTAGTTTTCATACCGTAAGTCTTTGACGTTCAATTACTGCAACAACTGAATGGTGCCGAAACCCGGGACTTCAAGCCAGGAACGACCCTCAGCGAAACGAAGTCAGTTGCTGAGCAGCAAACGAGTGAACGCCATGGACTAACCTCGAACGAAATTTGGATCGACATCGAAACAAGTAAGCAACCCTATTACCCGAAGCTTACCAACCTCTCGATTTGTTCAAACATGGAAAGGGTGCGAACGAAAAGGACTGCTCGCAGAGCACAAAATACCCGAATTGTCAGAGAGGCCACCGCTATTCTCAACACAGCGGATGTAATTCAAATCGAGGCCATAGCAAGAAAGCTTGAGGTAAATTATGAAGAACTCAAGAAGCTGAACACCGAGCTCGAACCCTTCATTGCCGATGGAGATCTTGAGAACGAATACCAGTCGGTAATTGAGTACGAGGAAGAAACGACCCACACCTTGAGCATGCTTCAAAGTCGAGCAGTGCAACTACGTTCTGGTGAACCAGCGCGACCATCAACATCGGCAATTGCCTCACGAAGCGAAGACCGAAGACGGAGCGGTATTAAACTACCGAAGTTGCAGCTGCAATCCTTTAAGGGCGAGCTTGCTGAGTGGCAGCCATTTTGGCAACAATTCAAGCGTGCCATTCACGAAAACGGAGAGCTGTCAAGCGGCGAGAAGTTTCAATACTTAAGGACGCTGGTTAGTGGACCCGCCAAGGCATCTATCGATGGTCTCCAAGTGACGGATGCGTGCTACAACGACGCAATTGAAATCTTAACTAGACAGTTTGGAGACTACAGGCGAATCCAGCAAGACCACCTTACAAAGCTTCGAACGCTTCCGAGTGTCACCTACTCAAACGACACCAAGGGTTTGAGGAGACTTTACGATCAGGTGCAAACCCACATCCGCGGTCTTCATGGACTTGGTGTCAGCTCAGACAGCTACTCGACCATGCTGATGGACATTGTCATCAAGGCACTTCCATCTGAAATAGTGGTGGATTTCTACCGACGTGCTGGCCATTCTGAAAGGAAGACCGTCCATCCGTATGAGGGAGACGTTGCTGCACATTCATCTCCACCCACATTACAAGCAGAAGAGCTGGGGTCAATCTCAGGTACTTCCAGACCTGCTGAGCTGTCCGCCAGACCAACACCTCGAACAGAGGACGTTCAACTGAACAGCAGAAGGGCGGAGGGAGATTTGCAGCAGTTGCTCGAATATCTGCTAATCGAGATCGAGAGTAGAGAAAGATCTGGTGTCAGAGAGGATCGTCCACCAAGAAAAAATCGAGAGCAACTACCTCAACGAGCTCATCTTCCGACTTCTGCGGTTCTCCATGCCAAAGCTCAAGATAACAAGAAGGAGTGCATTTTTTGCAAAACTACAGGACACAGCACGGAAAACTGCACCAGTAACATCTCTCTAATGGAGAAGAAGAAGAAACTCTCAGGAGAGACGCGGTGTTTCCGGTGCACCCTAAGAGGGCATAGGTCAAAGGACTGCCACAGGAAATTGTCTTGCACTTCCTGTGCGGGGCGACACGCAACATCCATGTGCGATCCGGCCTGGAAGCCTTCAGCGAACACGAGTGCAACACAAACCATGACGACTAGCGTTCAAAGCGCTGGCACTGCTAGCACCGAGATTTCGATAGACGACGACGTCCTACTTCAGACCTTTCGAACCTGGGTGGTCGAGGATGGGAATACTGTCTACGCACGTGCCATCTTAGACGGTGGAAGTCAGCGAACGTTTATACGCGAAGACGTTACTCGCAAGTTGAATCTTAAAGGGACACTGACAGGGTATTTATGCTCGCTGAGGTTTTTAGTTGTACGTGACATATGAGAGCTCAACTACCCAGAACAGAATTTGCGGCTCGAAATTCGGTTTCTTTCAGCCCGAAAACCGCCGATCAAGAACTGGCCGGTTCAAGTCTCGCTCACTCTCTTTTTCGCGGTCACGGGCCGTTTTCTAAGGTATCGATGCGGCCACCAAATTTAATCGAAGTCGTGGGTCACTGAAGGCACACACTCAATATTAAAAATAGAAAAAAATATGAAACCCATTTTTTGTGGCTTCTATACACCAACTCATGTTTACAAACAAACCGGAGCGCTCCTAGCGGACGTCACCGGCGCCGCGCATGCGCCGTGGATGGTGGGCAAGAAGCCCGCCGTCGCCCATAAACAAACCATTGAATTGCGTTGTTGTCGGCGTCGGTGGGAGTCCCCGTGCTCTTTTTCGCGTTGGAATTGTTGATTCTACGTCCTCCTAACAATGTCTGACTACTTGAGCGGCTTCAGCAAAACTATCGAGGCAAAACTTTGCGTGAATAATGTGACTTGCGGCGATTTATTTCACGTGGACGCCGCAGAATGGGCGCTATAAAACCTGACTCCCACGTCGAGATTCTGCTCGCTATTTTCAGTCGCGACGTCGCTCGGACTGCCAAAGCGTGGACCGTAGCTGAGATGGTGGACATCGATACTGAAAACCTCAAGTAGAATCGGGCATTACAAGTCGGTGATGGCCACTGGTAACAATGATCAACAACTTCTTGTATCTGTTTACACTTAGCCGACTTACCCCAACCGACCTTCAAAAGTGTTTTGAGGCCTGCACTTAGTTCTTATCGCAATTACCGGGTCAATGTTTGGTTTACGAGCCGCTGTTGTTTGAACGAACTGACGACAAAAAGCAGCCAAGTTTGAAAGAGCAGACGACAGTTGGAACGAACGCGCAATGGAGTACGGGCAAGAAGCACCGCGTCCCGCGTCAACAAACCATTCGAATGTCACGTTGTCAGCGTCTGTGTGAGTCTGCATACTCTTTTCCGCATTGGAGTTGTCGATTCTACGTCCTCATCGCAATGTCTTACCACTTTAATCGCCTGAGCGAAATCATCAAGGCTCGTTACGCTGCTAAACTTTGCATAAATAATTTGACGGTCGGCGATGTATTTGCATGACCGCCGCAGAATGGACGTACAAAACCATGATGAGACTCTTCTAGCTATTTTCGGTCGCGACGACCCTCGTGCTGCAAAAGTGTAGAAGGTAGCGGCGATGATCGACGTCGATACTGAAAATCGGAAGCGGGAACAGACAAAGCGTAACAAGTAGGTGATGGCCACCGGTACCAATGATCAACATCTTGT